TTTACACCACAGTATCCGACACTTTGCATTGCACTTGGTGATGTAAGGCTTGGATGCAGCTACTCGGCCATGGAAACCCATTCCATGAAGCTTTCTATGTACTGTTGTTGTGCTAATCTGAAGGCCACATGAAGTTTGGAGGACTTCAGCTATTGACTCTGCAGACAGTTGGAGACTTCTGTGCGCTTCAGCATGCGCTGACCCGGCTCTGTCATTTTACGTGGCCTACTACTTCGTGGCTGAGTTACTGTTGTTCCCAGTTGCTTCCACTTTGCCAAGCAGGGCATGCAGCAGTGTATTACTGGATTTTAAACCGTATAGGCACTTAGTTTTAATATTTTACATATCTATACCTGCAAAAGGGGCCAGCCTGAAGAGATCTATCAGGACTTTATTTTCTGACATGAAGTGGCCCTCGCTCTTCAAAAGGTTGAGCACTCCGGGTATACAGACTCCCGTGATTACAATTTAAAAAAAAAAAATATTCAGTACATCTGTCCAATACACGTTCTTTTCCCATATTTATTCCCTTTAACCTCCCTGGCGGTATTCCTGAGTGTAGCTCGGGGTAAAGTTTCAGTACCACAAGCGGTAACCCCGAGCTACACTCGGGGTTACCATGCAGCACTGCTCCGCGATCCCTCGATCACTTACCTTGTCCTGCACTCCCACGATGTCCCTCCTGCAGTGTCCCCGGCAGTGTAATCCGGCGGATGCCGGCATCTGTCACCTGGGTTCCGTCCCCTGCGAGCGTCGGGACGTACGGGGGACGGAACGGTGGGAAATTTGAAAATGACAAAAAGTGACATTCACTAAAATCACATAGTAAAATATTACTGTATCAAAACATTTCACATACATTTTGTCCCGAGTGCTTTGTCCTGTGCCCTGCCTGCATTTTTATTGTTCTTTCTGCCTGGAAACTGAGAAACGTCCATGGCGTCCAAAAAGCGTCCCTTTAGGTCAAAAGCGGTTTTAGACCAGCTACAGAACAGCGATAGTAAATCTGAACCACTTGCAGAATTGAGTGATAATGATTTGTGGGGAAATTCGGCATCAGACACTGAAAACGATTCTGCGACTTGCTAAGTGATGTGCAAACTCGGCGCTATATTTCAAATTTCAGTGTTTTTGGTTTGATTATATTATTGAATTACATGTATTATTATATTATTATTTTTTATGACTATTTATTAAATTATCATTTATGATTTTGTGTTTCAAGTTTTAACATACCCGGGATGTTTACTAGACTCTTGTTCGGACAGATTTCATTGAGTTATTCCTAAAAATTACTGGCCTACAATTAAAAAAAAACAAACATATTTCCATGTAAAAAAATGTACCGCTTTGAGCACAGAAATATGGACATAATCATACCGCTAGGGAGGTTAAATGGTTGCTACCCGGGATGTTTACTAGACTCTTGTTCAGACAGATTTCATTGAGTTATTCCTAAAAATTACAGGCCTACAATAAAAAAAAACATTTCCATGCAAAAAAATGTACCGCTTTGAGCACAGAAAGAAGGACATAATCATACCGTTGGGAGGTTAAATGGTTGCAAATACAGAAGAATGGTTGTTATATCTATTAGTAGTTCTTCTTGTTGAATGTGCTCTGTAGTGTTGAAGACATTCCATATCCAAGACACTCCTTCATTTCTAATGAGTGTCAGAAAAATATGCCAACATTAATTTCCTAATGATCACTGACACCTTGATCCAATCACCACTGAAAGGCAGATGTTATTGTGACGCTGGGAGGGGGGCGGGTGTGAAAATGGAACCCTGTGTTCTAGCACTGTAAAACCAGCAAGGCTTCATAGGTAATTACATGACCGAAGGTGTGAATTGTCAAAACGCTGGAGTAGAGATGTTAAATCTGTTTTATATGTGCAAGACAGATGGTGTTGAAGGCTCCATCCTTGTGGTGATTATTCCAGTATGACGTAGATTGCCCTTTTCACTTGTGCACCAGTTGTCCTCTATTTCCATAATGTTCACCTCATTGGCTTCAAAAGAATGTCCCTTTTCCCCAAAGTGGAGGAAAACTGCTGACTCTTGACCTGAAGAATTTTCCCTTCTGTCTTGGGCCAAATGTTTGTTGAGAGGTTTTGTTTGCCCGTTGTACAAATCTTTGCATTCCTTTCCTACATGATACTGTATATACCAAGTTACTTTGCTTGTGTCTGAGTGTTGGGTCTATTGGATGTACACGTTTCTTTCTCAGTGTATTGCAGGGCTTGAAAGACACAGGGATGTTACATGCTGGATGACTCCATTACTCTGTGTGTTCTGCTTCTTACCCTTTTTTTTCAATGTTTTTACCTGACCTTGTGGATGTTTTAACCACTTTAATGCCCCGTACACACTATAAGAAAATTGTACGAGAACCAATCATCCGATAACCGGATCGTTAGTACACAGCTTTCAACAGCCGATCACGACAATTCGTGCGACAATATCCGAAGGGACAAGCGTGAAAATGTTTCTTGTAGGATACCTGATTGTACAATTTTTGTTTAATCAGTACAGTTGTCATCTGAAAATACAATACAAATACAATCTCTTTCGAAATTCTTTTCTTTTGTAGGAGAATTTTTAGTAACCTTTTCACTTTCGATGTAAGACTAGCAGGCGAAAACAAAAAAACGGGCGATTTGTTCGTTATATAAATTTGTGTGTTGCTTTTTTTTTTTTTTTTTTTTTTTAAGCAGAGGCCCTAGAGCATAAAACGGTGAGTGATGCAATTTTTTTATGTCACACGGTAAGAAAAAAAAAAATACACTTTAATTTTAAATCACAAAAACACAATAAAATTCCCAATTGTTTGGTAAAATACCTAACATGTCAAGATTTAAAATTACGCCTGCTTGTGGAATAGTGACAAACTACGGTACTTAAAAAATCTCCATAGGCAAGACTTTAAAAGCCTTTTGCAGGCTGCCAGCTTAGAGTTACACAGGAGGTCTGGTTCTAGAATTCTTGCTCTTGGTCCGACGTTTGTGAGGATACCTCATATGTGGTGCAATCACCATTTACGTATGAATCCAGGACCGACGTGTGTGTTCACCTTTGCACGTGAGCATGGTGAGACGGAAGCATTTTTACGTTTACTTTTTTTATTCATTTGTTTTGTTTTTTCCATTTTTATACTATCTCTTTTAACCCTTTTGCACTGACGTCACCCAAATATGCAGCCTCCCAGAACTGGGCTTTTTTTTTCTGTGGGGCCACATATTTGCATACCTGTCTTTCTGCTGGGAGCGCACCGCACAGTGCGCTCCCAGCACAAAGACCGGGGTGTCACTGAGAGTACCAGGTCCCGTTCTACCGATTCCGGGTCACATGATCACTGTGATAGACTTTGATTGGCTATCACAGTGATCAGTCACTGTATAGCCCATCCCCCTTGTTTCTTTTTTTTTCCTCTTTGAATGGAGGAGACAGATACATTGTATCTCTCTAACTACTGGCATAGAGAAAAAAAAATGTTTATTGAAAAAAAAGATAAATATATATTAAAAAATAAAAGACAAAAATACCTAGATCAAGGTTTGATCTAGTTCATTGCCCGGGTAAGTGTTTGGGTCAGGGTCAAAAGGTCAGGATTTTTTTTTTTTTTTTTTTTAATGTCAGTGTGTTTTAGGTAAAAAAAAAAAAAACCAAACAATAAAATGCACACTATTGTTTCTGGGCTGTACTACGGGTACAAATAACATACACACATATGGTATTGCTGCGATCGTCAAGAGCTGGAAAATTTATTTTGGTTTGTTCTTTGGTGGTAGGTTATGGTAGCAACAAGAAACACACAGCTGAATTAAAAAATATATTTTATTTTACTACTTTGGACCAGTTTTCCTTTGATAATAGAAAAAAGAAATCAGGAGATATCCATTACCATTTACCACCAAATGAAAGCCCCATTTGTCCTGAAATATAACAAGGTATAATTCACCCGGATGTACAAAGTAGTTGTGATGATATGTACGGTTTTACAAACACATGTCCAGGGGCGGACTGACCATTTGGAAACTCAGGCACTGCCCAAGGGCCCAGGGTCAGTAGGGGGGCCCATGAGATGCCCCTGGTACCCTTTTCATAGGTTTTTTTTTGAGTTTGGGCAAGGACACAGGGGCCCCATGATCCCCTATTGCCCGGGGACCCCATGAGTTGTCAGTCACCCCTGAAAATGTCAACGTTCCAAAATTGTGCTTAGACATTAAGATTTGTTTTACCCTTAGGCGTGAAGGGGTTAAATTTGCTTTCACTTTTATTGCTATCACAAGGGAGGAACAATATTCCTTGTAATAGCATCAGCAGTGGCCTGTTAGACCCCATATCTCTCTTCTGCCCTTATAAACATCCTATTAAACCAAGAGAGGTGTGATCAGATGAATTCCCAAGCTAATGGAACATTCTGGAGAAATTAGAAGTGACAAAATATTTGTCACTTCCATTTTTTTATACCATAGAGTTGATTGGGGAAGGTCGGGTCCCCAATCACTTTTATGGTAAGCAAGCGGAACTGCCAGCGTCAGTCCTGCACTTCCCAGGGGGATGGAAGAGCCCAGTGAGCTTTCCACCGCCTGTAAAAGTAATTCAGCTGCTAATTTGCTGCTAGGATTGCTTTTACAAGAAAGAGCATCACCGATTTCTAAAAAATAAATATACCGGGATGATGTCTCTCCCCACCTAACAACTGTACTTTTATTTTCTCCATCAACTCCCCCACAGCTATTACCTTTTGTATCACTTGCCCCTCCCTCCTAGATTGTAAGCTCTAACAAGCAGGGCCCTCTGATTCCCTCTGTATTAAATTGTGGTTTAACTGTACTGTCTGCCCTCATGTTGTAAAGCTCTGCGCAAACTGTTGGTGCTATATAAATCCCGCATAATAATAAATCAACTAAATAATAGAACATTAAATATGATCAAATAGTGTTGAATGTATTCTAAAACAATTCTTAATTTTGTTTGTTTCTTTATTAAAAGATCTGAGGAACACGCTGATGGTCTTGCTAATGGAACAAGAAGTAACTCAGGAGGAGAGGGTGGAACTTGAACGAACCTGGGTACTTTTCCTTTCTACACTGGAGCTTTTCCAGCAGGACTTATGTAAAGCTCATCATCTTTGCCAACTCTTCCCTCTGCATGGCCGACGCAAGAGACTAGTTAATACTGGGGTCATTGGTAAAACCTCAGAAGTGGCCTACAGGGCACGTAACATCAAGTCACCGAGCTCAAGAGTAAAAGAAAATCCACAGAGAGGGGAAAGGCCGTGTTCCCCAGACCTGGCTGGTCAGATTGAACACGTAGAAAGAATGCTACACGACATGCAGATGAAAGTCAGCATTCCGATATGGACAGTAGAGGCCACCGAGGAGGCTTGGGCAGAAGTCAGCTCAACCTGTGATGATCTGGATGACTGCTCTGATAATGAGATCCTGGCTGGAGAAGACATTTCCAGTAGAGGATGTTGTGCCCAGCGCCAATCATTAGCTCGACCTCTGTGTATGGTCTCATAATAAACATATAGCACTTGAATTAAGGAACAAAATCTGCACTGCACAGATCTGAAAGATGGAGAAATGAGAAAAACAATACTCTTGAACAATTTAGTACTTTACTGAAAAGGCATGACAGGAACCATCTAAAACAAAGGTTCAAGTAAACACGAGGTAACATCAGAGAAGAGTTTCTGTTTTTAGGTAGAATTTGCTAGAATTATAAAGAATATATGTTCTTGTTTTCAGACTGGCCTGTGCATCATCAGTGGTCCCAACTGGCTGGATCAACAGCACTCCACTGCCACATATCCTCAGGTATTGACACTCACTGGCATTCAAGACTGTGAACCCAACTGTCATGGACTATATCTAAAGAAAAATGGAAACTCGGTTGAGAATAGTTGGGTGTTACATGATCCTAGGTGCAACTACTGGCATTGCCACTGTTCTGGGGCCTGAGGAGTAAAAGGGGGGCCCAAAAATTATCCTGCGAGTAAGCAGGTACTCAGCTGTATTGGTATGCTACTGAAATCATAGTTATACCTGCTTATTTATGACAGAATCAAAGAGGTCGGGTCTCTTTCAGCTGAGGACAATCAAAGAATTACAATGGATGTTCCATGGTATCATTATATGCAGCAGTGCATGCATAATCACCAAAACCTTGAACTCATTTTGTTTTTATGTTAATCATAGCAAGCTGAATAACCTAACCCACTTGAGACCTGCATGGAGTCTTCCTCAGGGTTCAACAAACACTTCCAGGAAGCAACAGACTTATTCATCATCCACTTTCTGAGTATTTGGTCTTTCTGATTCATGTTAAACCTCCTGCATGTCATGTGGTCATCATCATTGCAGCTACTGTATCGGTTGAGGCTGTTTGTATCAACACTGTACTATGTGGGTCTACTAATGTCATTGCCTGAAGGCAGTTGAAAAATGGTGGTCTTGTGTTCCGAGCTAGTATTATATCCCCATGATCAAAGTATGACCAAGCCTGGTCATGTTGGCTTTGCAGGCTGTATTTCTTTTTCAAACTCGTTTGGTCAGCTCATAAGAATTATCTTACACCAGAGGTAGTTGCTGATCAGGAATTTATACAATTCACCTAAAATGAATCTCTGTGGTAACATTTATTCAGGAGAGTTGAATAGTGTTTGGGGTCTGTAAGAGATCACTGCACCGCAGATTCAGCCTTTAAGGCCAAGACTGGGTCTGGCACCCAAACTTGTCAAGTTCAGTATATGACAACCAAACTATAATTATACCTAATCAGATTTTTTATTGGGTAATGATAAAACATTATTTAAAGCAAACCACTGTTGATGGGAAAAAAATACTATTTAAAATAAGCTTGACAAAGCTAACAGGCTAAGCTGTCAGTACAGATGATTACTTGCTTGATGGCGCAGTACCCCACCATGGACCTCCTGAAGTAGCTATGCCAATATTAAGTTTCTCCTAATTGCTATTTGCAAAGCCATAGGCACATCCCCTTATGCCCTAGCCTGATGACTGGTTCCTGGAGTATGGCCCAGTAGGATGCCTGTAGGGATTGTGCATACTTTCCCCAACCAGGTAGTTCTGGGTGAGGCAGAGCATTCTATTACATTTCTATTAACCCAGCTCCTGACAGAAAATCTCCCCTATTGGTGCAGTTTTTATCCTTTACTGTGTGGTCAATGGGACAGGAAGTGAGGAGACATCTCTCCAATACAACACCTTTGTAGAAGTGTAAACGTTAGATCCTCCATCAGGTTTTTATTGCAGTTTCTGTTCCCTTTGGAAGGGGTTTTCTTCTAAATCGCTGCCCCCATAACACTCTGGGAGTTATTTACTAAAAGTGCAAAATCTGGTGTAACTGCATTGAAACCAGCTTACACATTTTATTGCCAAAGCTTAGCTGAACAAGCTAAAGTTAGAAGCTGATTGGCTCCCATGCACAGCTGGACCGGATTCTGAGTGCACCAGTTTTAGTAAATATACCCCTCTGTGTCATGGTGTGCTTCCAATCCCCCCCCCCCAAGCTACACATATTCACCTGCTAGGAGTATAGAACTTCAGTTATCCGTGTAAGCTCTACGTTGCCCCAGTCAGAGCTTACCCTTATCGCCTTCATGTGACTGCACTGGGCCAGACATTAAAAGAGAAGTATGGGATTTAAAAAAAAATAAGCTTTTTCACCTGGGTGTATGCAGCATTGCTCCAACTCTGCATCTGTCCCCCACTGCCTTTAAGAGAGAGAATGGAGTGATCAAAGACTGCTGACCGCTAGTTCCTGGTGAGCAAAGAGCCGATTGACTGTCGGGTAGCGGCTGGGCTGGGCTAGGCTCCCAGCAGCATGCTGTAAGACTGAGCCAACTGCCAGTCAGGAATCTGGGTGGATCTTAATACTAAAAGGATAATCTCCCAGAGTCTGGTTGGGCTGAGTAACGGCAGCTGACAGCAGACTAAATGTACGGGTCACAGAACTAAGTACACTCCCGTGACCCACAGGAGCAGTAGGCCCAAGAGAGATTTGGCCCTACTTTTCCTTCAAGCAGTTTTGTCACAGGAGTTGCATACTCCTCTGTACCTATAAGTTCTGATAAGTCCTTGGTAAGTGAGGCAAAGGTAAAATATGCTGCTGGGCATGGGCACATTAAAGGATAACCACATCTTTAAAATTCAGTCCCCCAGGGGCCCAAGTGCATGTAGCACTTGGTCCAGTTCTGATCTATCCTGTGATTGCTGAGCAGCCTGGGCAGACAGCTTACCCTCCCTCCACTTTCTGACTATGCTGCTAGCAAGAGGATGAATATAGAGTGCCAGTTCACACTGATGTAAATTCTATGTGGATCAGCTGTGATCCCAAAATCATACATGCACATGTAATCTACAAACTCATTATTTCCAAAGCAGGCTGTTCACATATACGTAGTGCAAATTTGATCTGGTCCTGTGTGAGTTTAGTGCAAATTTCATCTCCTGCTATGCCAAGTCCCCTTAGAAATTGCATTCAATTCACACCTGTCACAGCAATAATTGCACTGTGAAACCGCATCAGCTTTGCACTGCATCTCTGTGAACCGGCACTTAATGTGGGCTGATTGAAAGTGCTTGTATCTAGCACCAGGCTGAATATGAGCGCCACCATTAGGCACAGCAGGCAACAAGCGCCTACTGTTGTGAAATATCCACGGCATTGGCAGATATGAGCTTTCCTGTACAGGGGGAGAACATACAGTTCCACTGGCATGCCAGCTTTATACACGAGAGGGTACTGCATTGGGATATGAACTGGCTAAACCTATCTAGCGGCAGTTTTCTGTGCTACCCAACTAATTGGACGCCTGAGACACTGTGCTATCTGTGTATCAGAGGTGTCTCTGCCAGCAGCCCTATCATTCTTCTGGAAGAATAGGAGGAATTCCAAAATGTCTGCAATATACTATTACATCCGCTGTGTTGGCAGGTACATCACACAGCCCTGCAGGGCTGAGTCATTCAGAGTAAGGATCAGCCAGAGCTGTAGGGCTGTGTGATCTACCGGCCAACACAGTGGATGTAAGTGCATTGCAGACATTTAGTAATTCCTCCTACATTTGCAGAAAAATGACAGGACTCTAAACATCCACTGCTCCTGGAAAAAGCTTACAAAGCCCTGCAGTGCTAATTGGTCTTTTACAACTATTTAATGAACATTCAGTAGTGGCAGGTCTCTAAAAGGACAGAACATACACAAAGGGGCAAGGGGGTGCTGTAACTCCAACATAGGGACACCCAGGGGCGGACTGACAACTCATGGGGCCCGTGTCCTTGCTCAAACTAAAAAAAGCCTATGAAAAAGGTACCAGGGGCATCTCATGGGGCCCCCTACTGACCTCGGGCAGTGCCCGAGTTTCCAATTGATCAGTCCGCCCCTGGGGACACCCATAAATTGGGCTTCAGCCTGGGGTAGATCCTTGGGGGATTCAGGAAGTTATGAGTTAGGCCACATTCTCACCTGTGACTGCGCTCAACTCCAATTACATCCACTGAAAGCAATGGTAGGATGTTGGCTCCTGTAGCTAATTGTGACCGGTCGCAAATAATCTCTCGTGGAGTGATCGGTCCTGCACCAGGCAGCCTGCATTGCTTTCAGTGGGCTGCCTCCTGCACCTATGTACTGGGAACCCCCCACTGGGGTTCTCGCATGTAATTGTAATCAGACCCATTCACAGATGTGAATGTGGAAGGGCAGCATAGTGGCTAAATGGTTAGCACTTCCACCCGGCAGTACTAGGGTTCATTGGTTTGAATTCCAGCCATGGCACCACCTACCTAGAGTTTGCATGTTCTCCCTGTGCCTGCGTGGGTTTCCTCCGGACACTCCAAAGACATACTGGTAGGTTAATTAGCTCCTGTCTCAATTGGCCCTAGTATGTGTATGTATGAATGTAAATTAGGGAGCATAGATTGTACACCCCTTGAGGGTTAGGGACTGATGTGAATGTTTATATATATATATATATATATATATATAAAGCGCTGTGTAAATTGACCGCGCTATACAAGTACCTGAAATAAATGTGGCCTAATGCTGTTACCCTTTAAAAGCAAATTTGTTTTTCCCTGCGTGAGAAAAGCACTAGGTTGCTTTAAAGTGCAGCTGTCAATAGTTTAAACATTCTAACACTGGCTGCAGGACTAAAACACAGTCCGCAAGCAATGTGTGACCAGTCTTAACGATCGCACCTTCTTCTATTAGCCCAGCACTGTGATGAGCAGCCTTATAGGCCAACAGAAAAGTGCAGGAGTGGTTGGGTCAACTCAAAACATAGCTAGAAAGTGTTGAAATTGACATTCTAGAACCCCCGAGGATTTTGGTCTCCCATAAAAGACAAACAGAAATCTGCTGATGAATGCCAAAAAAAAAAACACATCAAGGTGTTCTTGATTACTCAAATAATTTTTCATTATGTTTTTTTTTCCCAAACACATCTCAGACTGTGCTAGTTTTTTTTATTTTAGGTGACATACAGTGAAATGAAAAATACTTTACATTGGCTGATTGCCACAAAAAGTTGTCAGTATGCTGGAATGCTTCATTATCCAGGGCTGCAAATCCCCAACCTCTGAAATATTGTAGCATTGGCTTTAAAACCTTGTCTGCCATTAGGGAACAAATGAACTCCTGCTTTTTTTTTTTTTTTATTGAAACATTCAGTGAACAAAAGTTTCTTTTCTGTGAGTTTAGTGTGCATCATGCAAAAGTCAATTGCTCCAAGAGCTGCCATAAATGTAACATGTTCATGTGTCTGTTACAACATATTCATTTGTTAAATGTTGATGTGGTGTACTTCTGCTAATCTGACATTCAAAACATTTTTATTTACAAATAAATCCATTTGTGTCAAATGGTTTTCTTTGTTACTCTAGAAAACATGTACTTGTATGGCTTTCACAGTGGCAGATTATCAGTAGATAGGCTGGCTATTGTCAGTATCTAATCTCTCTCTCATTGCCCCATTCTGCATCAGGCAGAGCCAGGAGTACAGCGATCACTATGCTCCCGGCAGTCTGAGAGGAGCAATGCTACTTTCAGACACAGCAGCTGCTTGACCGCCCCTCCCTTTCATTCACAGAAGCCTCTGTATTTTGGGAATAGTTTTATATAGTGCAGAGCCCTCCATGATTAGACGAGAGGAGGGGGTGGCGCAACACTCAAGAAGTATTTGAGAGCCTAATGTGCCAGCATTGAAGCGCAGGAAGTGTAGTGATAGTTGTACTCCCAGCTCAGTTAAAAATGTAAAATTAAACCAGTAGTAAAGCTCAAATTTAAAAAAAAAAAAAAAAAGGCCCCCCACTGGGTTTAGGTCTTAATGTGCTAGTATGCACTAGCCACAGTTCAGTGTCACTTAACACACCATAACATACTGCATTAACCAATGTTGCTTCCTTCCAAACATGGAATTTCATGCTCAGCATAGAAGGGAAGTAAATGGAACACAGAAGCAACTGTCACAGTAACAGCAGGCCATAGGAGTCTGCATTGCACTGTATAGAACTGTCCAGAAGACTTAAAAGTAAAGTTTAGGACGGCCAGAACGCAAAAAGAAAAAGGATTTACTACAACCCCTGGCAAAAAGTATGGAATCACCACTCTTGGAAAATGTTAATTTAACTACTTTCCCTCCAGAGGATCCCCCCTCCAGGCCATTTTTTGTGTTATTTTAACTGTTTGCAGCATTGCATGACCCTGCCATTGTCAAATAGAATTTATATCCTTTATTCCCCCCATGAATTGACCTTTCGGTGGTATTTGATCTTTTTTTTTTTTTTGCACTATTTAAAAAAAATATATAATTTTTTTTTGTTTGGACTTCCTTCTGAAAAAAACAGTTCACTTTCTAATATGCAAGGGTACCTGAGCACTCCTGTGCCTGCAGTCTCATAGCTGTATATCTGCAGCATGGGCTCTAAGGCATTGCTGCCCTGACTGCTAGTCTACCGAGATTTGGTAACATTAGGACTCACTGTTCTAATTACAGGCTCCGACATAAGAAAGCAAAGTCTTGCCTTGGAACAGACTTTGTGAACACAGTAAGTACTGTGTTAGGGATTTGGGTAGAGGCACTTCTTTGGGAGTCAATTAAATCCATTTACAAAAAAAAAAAAAAGTTGAAAACCTCCCAAGAGACGACGCTTTAAGAGATCTGCATTAAGCTAATTGTCAGTCTTTCCATTCATTAGGGACAGATTTTTCCATTATGTATCAATATGGTTACAAAAAAAGATTTATTATGAGGGAGTACCCAAAAGGGAATTAAAGAATGCTTTTACAGCAAATACAATCAGCAGCACTAGGTATGGAAAGCAACTGTATTTTGGCGCCTGCCAAATCTTGTGGCAAAAATGAGCAGACAATCTTAAATAGATGCAGTTTTTAAAATCTCACTAGTTAACAGAAATAAAAAACAAAAAAAAACAATTTACCAAAAAGCAAACAGTCACTGGACTGTTCTGCCATTTGTGGACAACTCATCCAAACCCAAATTACTGCCCTGGAACTAGCATAAAGCCCAAGACACTAAATGGCAATTTACAGCAGAACTTTCAGAAGCAGGTTGATCAGATATTTTAAATGAACAGCAGTGATTTAAATATTACATCAGGGACTGCAAATCATCTGGCACTGCCGCTGTTGAGTCTCCTATACAAGGTGTACTGCAGTTTAGAATCAAAATAGCAAGTTGTTCTTTGCCTTTGCTCTCCATGAAGAAAACCACAGCAGCCTACATTGGGGCAAGTGGAAATGCCATGGATTCATCTGCACTTACCTTAGTATGACCATCATTAGATTGGACTTGCCTGGCACAGTGCAGATCAAATACCCCCACTCTCCAGATATCATATCCTGTGTAGCACAAAAACTGATTATATACACCTGCTGTTGTGGAAAATGTATCCAAATAGAAATTTAGACACAAGCGGTGCCAAAAACCTGTGCCAAGAAATGGGGGGGGGGCATTTCTGACCTCACCTGATGCTTGAAGCAATAGTAGACACCACGAGTACACTTTATCTACAAGTGTTTTATTATAACCCTATCTGTAGGTACAAGGAATAGCTCCTAAATATTTAGGGGATATTCACCATCTGTGCAGCCTGGCACATGTACTCTGAAGGGATGGCATAAGCATGCCGTCCCTTCAGAGCGTGGTGCTGCTGGTGTGAGGCCATCACAGCTCAGCCATTCGAACAACCGGAGCCCATAATCCCAGAAGGAAAAATCAGGTGAAGATAGAAGCCCTATGAGCAGTGACAGCATGCCGTTGGAGGGCTTTGTTTAAAAAAGGTATGCATTGCAAAATGTGCTAGTATGCAATATAAATTAGCACATTATCTTGCAGGGGGATTTCTCTTAAAATTGCACTTTAATTGACTTAATAACCTAAATCACCAAGTATGCTGTGCTGGAGGGGGGGGGGGGGGGGGGGGGGGGGGGGGGAGGGGGGGAGTTATTGCAGCACACAGTAAGCAGTTTCCTTTTGGTGGCATCTCACTTTTATATCCTCAACTAGGCAAGGATGATGCAACCACAGCCCACCCTTTCATGGCCCCCATAGTCTACACAATATACATCCAGGAGGCTCCAGGACCCAGTCTCCAATTTCATATATGTGCGCAGTGATCGAAACGTGAAAGTTGGAGCTCCCAAACGCAAGCCGCCAGTGAAGCAGCAAGTGCATGAGATAGCAATGGTTTCACAGGCTGGAATGTAGAAGCTGAGCAAACCGCTAGAGCATTTGTTTATATGCCAGGGAAAGTTCATCTTCAAGTCACTATTCAAGTAAACTGTATGTACGCTATACATCTTCAATGAATCTGGCAAAAATCAGCAACTACAAATCCTACAGCAACATCTGCAAATGCAGACTGTGGATCAATGTATATTGGACACCTTAGCAACAATACATTCAAAAAATTATAAAACCACTTTATTTGTACACAACAATCAAACTCATTAACTTAAGCGTATATTACAGCATTCATGCACAGAACACAACATAACAGCAAGATGGTCAAATGTCCTTTTCTTGGGCATGCTTCTTGTATTGCTCCAGTAAATGCTTCTTGTATGCTGCAAGACAATATGCAGGTTACAAATCATACAGCATGGATGGCATCTAGAAATGCTAGGCTGTGATTGCCACCTAGGGGCAGACACGGACTATGGAAAAGCAGCTTGCATTGCTGGGATAGGATTTCAGACTGGGTTATATTTAGACCTAAATTTACATATCTGTATGGCAAGATACAAAATCTGTTCTACATAATTAAAAGTAAACAGCTGCCACTAGGGAGAAGAAGAATTTTCCCCTCAGCCAATGGCTCCTGGAAATCTCATTCATCTTAGGTCTACTTACCATGAGAGTAAAGCCCCCCACACACACACTCCTAGATTTAATTGTTTGACAGAAAGATGTCCCAATTTATGGTGAGGTCCCACAGGATCCTTGCTTTACTCTGTAATCTCTCTCCTGGTCTTTTACAGTTTACTTTGGCATACAATGGCCCTGTTGCAAAGCAATCTGGAGAGAAACATTTCCCCCCCCCCCCCCCCCCCCCCCACACACTTTCAAGGACCTTCACTCCTCAAATTAAAATAGATACTCTTGCTTGTAAAAGTTTCAATAAGGGTACAAATAAAATTGATCCAATATACATCACGGATCACTGGATAACAGTAGACATGAGTCAAATATTTTGACAGGAAACATCTGCACAATTTTCCATTGTTCCATAGAAGCGCTTTTCCAAACAGCACATCACTTAGAACATTGCATTTGCTTATGCCAAGCAATTTCCACTACAACATGGAAAAAGTCAGTTAGGAATAAGCATTAGAAAGCACTTACCTGTCTGATTCTGCCAGAGCTCTGCAGCGTGTGCATTCAAAGGACTGTCGTTATTTGGTTCTAAAACAGAACATTTTAATATGTTACAAGAGAAACCACATATGCAATTGCTTGGCAGCATGGAATGCATCTCAGAAACTGTGGTTACAAGTATCTACTACCCAGCTAGAAGATGAAGCGGTATGCACTGAGGGTTGCATGAACATATGCTGTGCTCAGCCCTGCGGTTCAGTTTGCATCCTCTCTCCCCGCCATCTTTACTATGGGCACCCAGCTGTGACAGCTTGCAGCTTCACAGCTGGGTGCCTGCAGCACATAGGCTAGCAACGCTGCACACTGAATGGTCCTGTAGTCTTCTGCGACCCATCATGTCCCAGAAGACTGCAGGGAGGGGGAGAAATTCTGCTTCCGACCGCCTAGGCCTGTCAAAATTGGTACCTGCTCCTTCTCAAAAGCTCCATCTCAAACAGGAGCAGGGGAGGAGGCCTTAAAGCAGAACTTGCTCTTTTGGGTGGAGCTCTGCTTTAATGCTGAATTCCAGGCAGACTCAATTATCCAGCTTTAGGTGCCTTGAATTTTCTTGATCCTACCTTTCTGTAATCCCATGCACATTTCAGTTTACTCACTGGGGAAGAGCCCAATGTGAGTTTGGAATAGATTTGAAGACAAACTGGCCTGTTACAAATATTATTATACAGTATTTATATAGCGCCAAAGGGTTTACTCAGCGTTGTACACTAGCAAGGGGGACAGACCATGACAAGACAGTAAATACAATACACGAAGGTTCGAGGCCCTGCTCTTTCGAGCTTACAATCTAGGAGAAAGTATAAATTCATTTAGATCTAAACAGCAGTCATAGGACAAGGGAATTGCTATTCACAGAATGGCTTGTTTAGTAAAGCCCCTGGCAGGAGATTTATCAGACTGTAAAAATGTATGGCAAGCTTAACAGGTCCTGAGGACCCCTGAAAACGGAGAAGCTATAACAATAAAGTGATGTTTCCTGTCGAAGACTGGCATGCTCCCACCCCCTATTGGGCCAATATAACAGGTGGCCCTTCAGGCAAGCCAGCTTTCAAGTGCTAAAAATACTTTAGCATAGTGCCCCTAAAAGGCACGTAAAAAAGACACCACCACTAGGTGCCTAGATTGTACTCAAAGCATGTTCAGAAACTTTAGTGTGTACACATTAATGTAGTTTTATGCCTAAAATCAATTTCTTGCTGTTCTATATACAGACTTTTAGAACTTCCCTCAAGGCACCAATGTTCTAAGAATGTCAGGCAGTACCATCCCTATAGGCAGGTGCAGAAACTACAAAGCTATGGTATGATTTGCATTCAGGAGAACCAATGTCTACATATATACACACACATAGGACATAAGATTCTCACCTCCCAGAAGGCTCTGTAGTGAGAGTAATATGGTCCGGACATCATACAGAGCTGACCATTTATCTTTTAGAATGTCCAAGCAGATGTTTCCATGACTGTCTACATTAGGGTGGAAGCATGGGGTAATAAACTTCACTTGTGGTGCATTGTAGGGGTAACCACTTGGAAATTCCAGCGACAGCTTGTACCTTAACTTCTCATACACCTATTAAAAAAAAAAAAAAGTGTAGTGTAATGCTATTAAACGTCAGGGTTCTTACAGATTAAGACCTACATCTTGAAGGATGTTGTGCCAACAGCCAGTACATAGAACTGCATAAATTGCATCTGTTTTAGCCAACTTAGGACCAGCACTTTTAGCCCCAGTGCAAGAGTCTCTGGCGAGTAGGTGTGAGTGCCAGCAACTTGTCAACGCTATGAGAGGCTGACAGCTGCTGTGGCTGACAGTGTGCAGAGTGGTTCTTATACCTGGAGCACAGCCTGTGTCCTGGGCATTCATCCCTGGGGGCATACTACACTGTATGAAAGTATATGGCAAAGTGTCCTGCCCCACTACAGGAATAAACCCCTCGACGCCTGACAATGGAAGCATTTTTCCAGTGGCCACCAGCATCCCCATAAAGTTCTACTTCTGATCTGAGCAAGGAGAGAAGGGGGGGGGGGGGTGTTCACAGGTTAGAAAGCTGCTGCTTATTCATAATACTTTGTTATTTTGCATTTTTTTAATGAAAGTCTTTATGCCCAAGTTCAGCTTTAACACGCACCATAGGACTACAGAGTTGCCAAACTGGGTGGGGTGAGCAACAGCCCCCAGCAGTGTTGTGCTGCCACATGTATTGAGACTGCAGGAAACTTACAATACAGTTCATTCAGTTTGATCTACACAGCTGTATGATGGGTTCACAGTGTCAAACCCATGACATGTACACCAAGATGTTTACCCTAGATGTCTACACAAACAGGTCAGGCAGCTAGTATCTTCAGGAAAGAGGAGTTTTTTTGAACCCTCAGGAAAGGTCTATTTTTCTTACAGTTACAAACAGCATGCTACTTAATGCATGTCCAATTTTTATGTATTTTTTTTTAATCAAAAACAATGGAAAACAAAGTGCTCAGATACTCACTGTTCCCTCAGCGCCATCAATTGTGCCAATCCATTTGAACAGGTTGTCCGACTCCGGGAAAGCAGAGATTCCTTTATCACCAGACATCTGGAGAAAGAATCAAAAATGATAAACTAGATCTGACCTAGCGGAGTAGGACCAGGGACGTTTACAAATGTCTCCCACAGAAAATATAGGGTACTGAAATTTGTCACCATTTCAAAGGCGCATGCAAATTTAAGGTTTGACATGTTGAGTATTTTCTCACTGCAACCTCATCTTTTATCAAAAAAATTTTGCCCCCTTTTTTTTTTTTTACTGACAGTGAGTTTAAGAGTTTTGCAGTAATATGTTAATATGTGACAAATTGGAATACTACTTTATTCTCTAGGGTGTCTTTCAGAAACAAAAATTTTTTTTTTTGGGGGGGTGGGGGGGGGGTGTAATCTTAAGGCCTAAAATTATTTTTTTTTTTTAAACTTGTGCAAAAATGGCTCTGGCAGTAAAAGTTAAAGGCTAAGTTCACCTTTAGGAACAGGTTACATGTTCCTTCCATTTTTAGGGTGGAACATGTGCCATTCCCACTCATGAGCCGAGAAGATCCCCGTACCAGCTGTCACTTTCTGAAAAGAAAGGAGCCGTATAGGGCTCTGGCCATATTATTCAGAGTTCTGTGAGTGACAACTACATATACAGACATCCTTTGCAGATGTCGGTTTGTACTTTAACTACCACAGTGCTGTTGAGCACTCTGGAAGGTCATTGACTTTTCCTGTCCACAGGAAACTGCCTGGTGACCGCTCATGCAATGCTTTCCAGGCGAAAAAAAAAAAAAAAAAAAAAAAGATGCTTTTATCATAAATTTTTCAAGAAGGTGAACTGATCCTGTAAGAGCAGAGTTTGACTTTTACTGAGCACCCAAGCACTTCTGTGTGAGTGGAACCTGAAGGAGTAAAGTAGTTCCCCCCCCTCCACTGGGGCCAACTCCTCATGGATGCACTTTTGCTGAGTGCCAGACATTTTCCTGACTAACAGCCAATTGGTGCTCATCACACTGCAAGTTATATCCCCTCCCTGCTAGCCCCTGGTGCAGTGCTAGAAACAAGAAGGTGGAGGTGAGGAGGGGATAAACAAACAGCTCAATGTAAAAAAAAAAAAAAAAAAAAAAACCCACATACAATCAGGACAAATAGATTGGGACCCCAATTTTTTTTTTTTTTAATTTCTACACCACTGACATTGGCAAATCTAATTTTATACTTACCATTAATGTCATCAGTTCTTGCTGTAACCTGGAAGGAAGAAAAAAAAGCCTTTGAGTAACTTGACAAAGAAAATAAATTAGAGCATGGTAACCCATATATTTTAATCAAAAGGCTTCTATCCGAAGGTAAATGAATCTGGTTATTACCAATTTTCGGTAACACTGAGGATAAAGCCCACATCTGACCTCCAAGTAATTCTAGGTATACAGCTCCAAACCAAAACGTCTGGCCAAAAAGTGTCCAAGATGCTTAGGTTGTCTAATTTGATCATTGATAAGTGGCAGTTGCCCCTGGCCAGTGCACCTTTGCAGCAAAAAAAGTAATTCTTACCCAAATATAGATTTCTCTGGTTATAATTGTGAGCCCATCCATGCCCTCAGTCCATTTTATAAATGCACCAATTATGTCCCCCTTTGCTCTGACCCAACAATCCCACCCTGACCCTTTACAGATGTAAACAGATGCTATTGGATCATGGGTAAGTATACTCCTTTCTCCTGGCCACACCTGCACATTAAAGCCACATCGACTTCTATGGGGCTTCTCCATCTCCATGTCACGAGATGGTCCCATTGAGATACGATATTTTGATTGGAGCCCATTTCTGTATAATAGTCGTTTCCCAGATAGTCATTTTCCCCATTTTCTGAACATTGCAATCCCAGTGTCTCCAAATTAGGTCTCCCTATGCCGCGTAATTATGTGAAAATCTGTCTCATCCACAACGCCAAGTCTCACATTGTGCATTTGCAGCTGAAACAGATTGCAACTAACTGCTGCCACACATTGGGCTAATAAGCCAGCCTGATTTGCAATCAATGTATGTTTGTCACCAATTTGCTTAATAGCTGACCCACATTGATTACTCATGCAACTACCCTTCCTTCATTGCCGTTTATATTGATCCCCAGTGCAAGTGGTAACCTCACATCGATTTGATAACTTTCAATGTCAAAAGTCATTACGAAAAAAAGTAACCCGATCAATCATTTAATTATCCAAATAAGCATCTTAAAAGTGACACTAGACTCTGGTTTACGCTGATGAAGGCAGGAGCAATATACTGAACTGCTGTGCAGGAGGGCAAGTCAGTACAAGTCTTGTGCCGTAGGACACAGGGACAGGCAGGCCGTAATCCCAGTTTTCCAGCTGTGCTGACCAAGTTGGGATAGGGGTGCTTCAATGCCCAACATGGTCAGTTTGAAATAGGAAAGCAGGGAAACTGGCAGGTATACCAGGAATGTCCCACAAAAGAAATACAAAAGGAGCAGTATACTTGGCTAGCCTAGGTGATCCTGTGGCAGCACCCAGATATTGCAGAGTTCCCCTTTAAACTAACCTCTAGCAGCCTCTGTTTGCAAAAGCAAGGCCACCAGCTCTCCCCCTCCCCCCCACTTACTTCCTGTGAAATGTGTTCCAGCTTGTAGCTGGTATCCTTATCTGTAGCCGGCATTCAAGGCCATATACTGCACAGTTTAGAAAGCCTTTTGAATGTACAGAAAGTGAAAGAGGAAAAATATGCATTGTGACAATTATGTATACTCTGATGTTTTTGAAGCCACTTAGCTTTGCAGACATGAGCCTGGCCAAGTCTCAACCAGCGCTGGTTGAATAAAAGGTTTGTTTTCCCTCAAGTTCGTGTCCGGAGTTTACCTGGTATCCCCAAAGTTGCCGCTACATTTCGAGTGGAAGTTCTCCTCTCCCCCTCCCTGCAGTCTTCTGGGACACGTTGACAGGTCCCAGAAGGCTGAAGGACCATTCACAAGGTGAAGCGCTACTCACACATCTGCAGGGGGCACCAGGTTGTGAAGCTAGCAAGTTGTCATAGCCAGGTGCTCACAGTCGAGGTGCTGGTTACTGGGGACAGAGGTTCAAAGGAAGGAACATCACTGGATATGGGACAAGTGAGTGTTTATTAAAAAGTCAGCAGCTACAGTTTCTGTACTGGACCAAGCACTTCCTGTTATAGATTACAACTGTTCACACAGTATTCTGAGGATTACAACTGGTCTTTCAATGCACATTACACAGGCATGTCCCAATGCTGTCACCATCAGGGAACCCACCTTGAGAAATGCCAAGCAGCCATCGCTGGGCGTGCATATGGACAAGTGGTTGCTGGAGATCAGGAGAGCAGAGACGTAACAAAAAAAAAAATCCAGCCTTTTAAAGTGTTCATGATAATGAGAGAGGCAGGTAAAGATATACATGTGTCTTTGCTACTACCTTGCCACAATTGTTATATGCATCTATGTGCCGGCCATGGAGCTGCCATTTTCACAAAATGTCATCAGTGACCAGCGTCTTCCTAGTTTCCTTTCTGGTACATATCTGACGTATGCACCATACAAGATCTGAGGATCTGAGGCTGCCTGTTCTTGAACAAGCTACACCAGATTACATGAACCACAAGAGATCTGACATGGCCTGTTAATTCTTCAACGAGCCACCCCAGATCACATATACCACAAGATGAGGAACAACAAGTTGTGCCTTAACAGGCTGCTACATATCATTTGGAGGAATAGAATTTCAGAAAATTCTTAGAAAAAGTCTTATGAAAATTCAAACAAAAAACTTTACAGAACATTTGAACGACTTAATTTGCTTTTAACATTTGCTTTAGGAATGGATCGACTTCACTGAACAAAAACCAAATACAACATTAGAAATTAAATTTCTTCAAAGACATTTTACATCCTACTAATTTTCTCATCAGCATAGTTGATAACGTATGTTGATCTGACCCGTGTAATGATATAAAAATAAAAAGTTTATACTCTTAAGCCCCTTTCAGACAGGGCATACCCCTCAGCCACTGATCAGGCAGATGACAGGTTTGTCTACTCTACTGTTGCAGAGCAGACAGACGCTGCCCACTCTCTTCTATGAGAAAGTAGGATGCAAAATGGACTGCCTGTCCGTTTCCATCCAATCCACCAGACGGATGGGGAACAGATCCCTATCCGTCCGTTTTGGCGTACAGGATCGGATGCCAGCATACATTTGTCCACTGACACCCGCCGGTCCATAGAGATCTATGGTTGGTCCAATTGGGTCCTCGTGTAAAAAAAAGAAAAAAAAAAAGCAAAGCGGACCCGATTGGACCATCAGTGTAAAAGGGGCTTTAAAGTGTAATTTTTTTCCTCAAAATTTAAAAAAAAAAAAGTCAGCAGTTCCAAATACTGTAACCGACACCTGTCCCAGGATCCAACACTGTCCTTACCCGAACCAGTTTCTTCACCGGTCTTTGATCCCCAGCAGCATCTTAACTTCTGTGGGAAGCCGGCTGTGACTCCTTACAGCTACACAGCCGGCTGCCCACTGCACATGTGTGAGCCGCACTGTGCTTTGTGAATGGTCCTGAAGTCTTCTGGGATCTGTGAGGTGGCCCAGAAGTCTGCTGTGGGTTGGATGATTGGTTGAGAACTTTCGTTTGGAACACCTGTGTGGATTGTGCAGCCACCTATCAAAACCAGATACCTGCTCCCCAACCCCACCAAAAAAAAAAAAAAAAAGTTCAAAATGTGGCAGAGGAGTGGGGAGGAGGAGAAAGATGGCCATAAATGAAAATCTTAGCTGGTTCAGCAGGGACCAGCAAAGATTTGATGCATCCATGGGCAGTCTGGTGGTACAACTACTTCAGTACAACTAGCCTGATTTTTTTGCAGGTGATCATTACCAGCATCTATAGCCGCTAGCATGATCATTGTGTTCTGCCAGTAAGGAATGTTCCCTGCTGGCAGAAAAAATCTTACAGTAGGAAGAATCCTCCCATCAGCACCGACAGCGTTAAAGGGGAAATTGAGTGACTGAGAAAAACAGCCACATCCAGTAGTAAAAGCAGCACGTTAGGCAAACAGTTACCCTTTGATTGCCCCAAGATGTTAACTCCTTCGTAGCCAGTGTCAATACAGTGAGAGTGTACAGTATTATACAGGATTTATATAGCGCCAACAGTTTGCTCAGCGCTTTACAATATACAGGGAGACAATACAGCAACAATACAAGAGGGATAGGAGGGCCTGATCCTGGGAGCTTACTATCTAGATTAGCACCGATCACTGTATTAGCATCACTATTGATGTCATTGTCCCTCCCAGCCAGCGCCAGACTATCACAGTCCCACTACAAGTCGCTGATGACCGCCATGATCGGTATAGCTTCACAGCTAGGTAAATTCCAGCACATACCATAATTTGTAGATGCTATAGCTGTCGCACAAGCCGATATTTACACTAAATGGAGGTTTGTTTTTTTTTTTTAATTTAAAAATAATTTTGACCTAAATTTATGAACACATTTGATTTTACTGGATGCTTTATAACAGAAAAGTAAAAGACAACCACCCTCCCCCCTACCCTTTCAAAATGTTTGGTCTTTTTTTCATTTATAGAATTAAAAAAACCAAGGGGGTGATCAAATACCAGCAAAAGAAAGCTCCATTATCGAATATCAATTTCATCTGGGTACAGCGTTGCATGACCGCAATTGCCAGTAAGGCTAGGTTCACATCTCTGCAGGTGGTGCCACTGTGCATCCTCACAAAAATCCGTGCAGCCGCACCACCCGCACAGAAGAATGTAGAACCGCAGACAAGTGCCATTAATTCTAATAGCACACCGCCTGCACTGGAAATTGCAACCGTACTGGGAAGCGAGGTTCCTGTGCGGGCTGCAGTTTCCACAGAAGTACAGGGACTTCTTCCCTGTGTGTCCCGGGAGTCCATTCAAATGAATGGGCTCTCGAGCCCACGCAAAACGCAGCCCGCACGTATGTGAACCGGGGGTTAAAGTGGAGCTTTAGGCTACAGTTTAAAAATTGGGGAACAGGCATGCTTTGTCTCTTCTGCATTAAAAGCATCTTACCTGCATGTCCACCCCAGTACAAAAAGCTGCACAAGCGCAACTCACCGCACAAATTCGGCAATGCCAAATCTGATGGAACTCTCCGCGCATATGTGGGACTGACATCAGCCCCACCCAGCCAATGATCCGGAAGATGGCCGCATGAAAAAGCCAGCAGCCGACGCAGAGTTCCACAGACAGTGCATCGCTGGATTCTAGCACAGTATAGTTCTGATTTAAAGTAGAAAACAGCAAAAAAAAAAAAAAAAAAATAATGCTCTGATCATGTTGGGGATAAAACCTTCCAGAGCTTAAAGCGGAGCTCCACCCAAAAGGGGAATTTCCGCTTTAAAGGACTGCTCCCCCACTCCCCATTAAGGATTGGCACCGTTTGGAGGGGGGGGGCGGGTACCCGAATTTGACAAGTACCCGCTTTCACTTCTGGTCCGATCACCTAGGCCAGTGGTCGGCAAGCCGCGGCTCGCGAGCCACATGCGGCTCTTTAAATGCTTTAATGCGGCTCTTGTGTGACGGGCACCCGCTCCCCTCCCTCCTCTCGGGCGGCAGGGACTCTGCAGCGTGATCAAAAAAAAAAAAAAAAAAAAAAAAAAAAAAAACAGCCAGGGCAGCGCGCTCAAACGCAATGATTGGCCAGTCTCGCTGCCACTCACATCCTGATAGCCAGTGATTGGCTGTCAGGATGTGTGTAGGCGGGGCAGCGTGACAAACGTGAGAGGAGCTAGGCTCCTCTCAGTCCGCCCTGAAGACCGGAACGGCGCGGGAACACGGCGAGAGGAACGCGCAGAGCAAAGGTAAGTGAATTGACACAGGGGGGGACTTGGCTTACTACTTGCTACTTACTTACTACTACTATATGGGGGATGAATTACTATAAAAAAAACTTATTGAAACTAAAAACAGTGTACCATCCTATGTATTTTCAGTTTTAAAAATGTGGCTCTCAAAATAAATTTCAATCGTGGTTTTGGCGAGATTTGGCTCAGTTGAAAAAAAAGGTTGCCCACCACTGACCTAGGCGATCGGAAACGGAAGGTGTCCTGCCTCCCTTCCTGTAGTCTCGTGGGACACATGACAGGTCCCAGAAGACTACAGGACCATTCATGAAGCGCAGCGCTACTCTCACATGCGCAGTGGATACCCGGCTGTGAAGCCGCAAGCTATCACAGTCGGGTGCCCACACTGAAGATGCCAACCTCCTGGAATACAGGACGGCCAGTGAAACAGGCTGCGGGGACACACCATGGGACAGTAAGTATTTTTTTTTTTTTTTTTTTTTTTTTTTTTTAAGTCAGCAGCTACAGTTTTTGTAGCTGCTGACTTATTTTTTGATGATAGGTTGAGTAGAACTCGGCTTTAAGTGGTTAAAGGCGCTTTGGTTGCACCCACAGTTGTACAGGTTAGCTGCACTTTGCTATAGACTTATGTCCTAGGGTGCAACTAAACCATGAAACAGAACAGAAGCCCATGGCAAGGCAAAGCTAACCTGTACAAAAACCCCGGGCACACTGCGCTGCGGCCAATAGCACATCAAGACAGTGTGAAGCCGGCCTTATGCAGGGAGGGAGAAGAAAAAAAAAAAAAAAAAGTCACACACATACATACGGGCGGACTGACCATTTGGAAACTCGGGCACTGCCAGAGGGCCTGGGGTCAGTAGGGGGCCCCATGAGATGCCCCTGGTACCTTTTTCATAGGCTTTTTTGAGTTTGACCAAGGACACAGGGGCCCCATGATTTGTCAGTCCACCCCTGCACACACATACAAATTTTAAAATTATATTTATACCACTTTTTGTAAAAAAAAAAAAAAAAAAAAAAAAAAAAGCATAATGTATATTTTATTTTTTAAATTACATTTCTACACTGTAAAAAGAAGTGGTATAAATATATATTCTTTTTAATTTATTTATCACTTTTTTCAAATTTTACAAAAAGTGTATAAATAAAAGATTTATAAAAATTATATATATATATTCATTCTTATTTATTTTTTCGGTTTTTAACAAACTCCATTAGATGAACCAGCACCAAGTACGTAGGAGGACCCACCTGGTTGCATACCGATGGATGGGATAGGTCAGGTAGGTCCTCATATAACCTGGTTTTGGTAGATTGTACAATCAGATTGCACCATGTATGCAAGTCTTTACAGATTGATCGATACTGCGCAGTGTATAGACATATTAGGCCATCCATTCGGGATTTCCATCTACTGGAGGTCGGACCATCATGGTGGACACAGCCCGGACAGCAGGCAAACTACAAGAAGCTCAATACAGCTGTCGCCCCTACAAAAGATGGCCCCCAGAGAGTCAGGCACAGCCCCCCACACAAAGACCAGTCTATAAACACAAAGACACACAGGACTCGTCCCCTCACCTCCTGCCCACAGAGCCCCGAGCAGCCTGAGCCCCGGACTCCAGTCCCTTCCTGTGGCCCGCTGAGGTAGCGGCAGCGGCCGGGTCCACGTTCTGAGAGGCCATGTATGTGTATAGGAGAAGACCTGAGTGAGGCCGGTCTGTAGAGACGACGTCTGTTCCTTCCTCCGCTGATACACCGCACTGCTAGCTCAGCCGCCCTGTGTTTGAACGTTTTAAACCCCAGGCTCGAGGACCAATCAGAGACGCGCTATAATTTGATTCCGCCAATCACAGGTTTCTGTTGCCGGGGTCTCCAAGGCAATCAGCGGCTTGGCCTCTCGCTGAGCATTTGAAAATAGAGAACGTAATTGGCTGGGTGAGCGTAGCGTCCCGCCTCCGCTAGGGAAGAAGCTGTCAATCAATATTGCGCAACGTCTGTTAACTCTTCATTTGCAGGAAGAATGATTGCGCTTCTTCCCAATGAAATAGCTGCGGCTTGGCCGAATACATGTTATATCATGTGACCTTCCTGCACCAATCACCTTGTGACTTTCCATATTAGTTACCATCTTATTAACGTGCTAACTGATTACAAATGATTTGCTTTGACTCATGGGAATTAGATGTCCTAGAATCAGCTTGTTTCCCCATTCACACCCCAGGCACATCCAGTGCCACTTGGCATGCGATTTGCAAATCATATGCCAAGTCACACCCTATTGTCAGCAATTGGAGCGGTGAAATCAGTGCGGTTCTGATTTGGTCACAGCCTCACCGATTTCTAAAGTAGTACATGCAATACTTGTGGTGCGATTTGCCTAGATATCTGTGTCAGATGTCTTGTGATTCGCACCTGAAATCAGCATCTCACCCGACTTTGAAATTGCGCAACTTCACTGCAAGTTGCACGATTTAAAAGTCAGGCTTGATGTGACGGGGGCAGGGCTGCTGTTAAAAAAACCACGGGGCCCCGTACAGCCAATGTAGTAGGGCCCCCAACTTAACACAGTTTATTATGCTTCAGTTACGAATGAGCACAGTGAGTGATCGCTACCAATCACCATTGTGTTCATTCAGGAAAGGAAGGGCTGGTAAATGTGACACAATTATGGACCCTTGTCACACTCTCCATCTATTGATCCTATTGTATTCTTGCATCTGCTGGTGGGAAGGAGAGGAGGGAAGCCATCAGCACTGCCGGGGTGTGGGGGAAGGCACACAGGGGGGCTTGGGCAGCACGGGGAAATGTATGATGCACTGGTACTAGAGTAAAAAAAAAAAAAATCCTGTATATATCACCATTTGTAGATGCTATAACTTTCACTTAAACCATTTAATTTACATGTATTGGGATTTATTTTAGCAAAGACATGGAGCAGATACATTTTGGTATAAATTTATGATGAAATTTGATTTTTAACATTTTATTACTGGACATTTTTAATAGCAAAAAGTGAAAAATATAGTTTTTTTCTCAAAATTGTTGGCCTTTTTTTTATAATGCAAAAAATTAAAAAAACACATGTGATCAATTGCCACTGAAAGAAAGCTCAATTTGTGGGAAAAAAAGATGTAAATTTCTTTTGGGTGCAGCGTTGCATGACCGCGCAATTGTCAGTTAAAGTAACGCAGCGCTGCAACGCAAAAAATGGCCTGGTCAGGAAGGGGGGTAAATCCTCTGAAGGGCAAGTGGTTAAATTACACACAGGTGGACTCTTTTTACTAATTAGGTGGCTTCTGAAGGCAATTGGTTCCACTAGATTTTAGTTAGGGGTATCAGAGTAAAGGGGGTTGAATACAAATGCTCGCCACACCTTTCAGATATATATTTGTAAAAAAATTTTGAAAACCATTTATCATTTTCCTTCCACTTCATAATTATGTGCCACTTTGTGTTGTCTATCACATAAAATCCCAATAACATACATTTACATTTTTGGTTGTAACATGACAAAATGTGGAAGTTTTCAAGGGGTATGATTACTTTTTCAAGGCACTGTATGTATGTATAAGGATCACATAACCCCCCCCCAAAACAGGGCTACATATATATTATGGCACTTACCTGTCAAGGAATGCAGTGGTGTCCTCACCCCAAGCCAATTCTACAGTCGGTTGTTGAGTGCTGGCGCCTCCATCTTGATTAAGGGAAGCCTTGCTGCTTCACAGCCGGTGTCCCACCGCGCATGTGCAAAAAGTGCTGCGCTATGTGAATGGGCGGCAGTCCTCTGGGACCTGTGAAGTATCCCAGAGGACGAATTTCTGGCTCAGTTTGCCACGGCAAACTGAGCCGAAAGTGGGAGCAGGTACCTGTCAAAACAAGGTACCCACTCCCCCCAAAGAGGTGCCAAATGTGGCAGCGGAGGGAGGGAGTAGGCAGATAAGCAGAGCTTCCACTTTTGGACGGAGCTCCGCTTTAACTAATGCCTCTGCGCCAACCCAACAATCAGGTGACTAATTGATGTGCTAATTGTCAACAAATATATGTGTACATATATCTAAAATAACAGTGAAAAGTAAAAAATAAAAGCAAAAGTAAAAAAAAAGCTGCCTGCCTGTGGATGTACCAAATTCATCCAAAGTGCAAGTAAACAAATCCTTGAGGGGGCGCTAACCCATAGATATTGACCCATCACGTTAATACCCAAGTATCAATAAATAAATGAATTGTGCATTTACACATACAATAGAGCTCTATACATCAGGCATGTCCAAAGTCCGGCCCGCGGGCCAATTGCAACCCGTGTTCTGGTTTAATACGGTCCCACAGGTAATTTGGCAGTATCTACAAAGGAGAAAAGCGCCTCTAAGTGCAATATGTGGTGCATTTATTGAGGGACATAATGAGAAACACATGATGAAAGAAAACAAAAGGCTTAGGCATATGTAGTGAAAGCAAAGGACATGGCGGCGTCCTCGATGTATACCCCGTAGTAAGCGCTGGAGGAGACTCTGGATGTTCACAGGGAGCCGGCCGGCATGTGTGAGATCCAAAAATGGTGTCCGGAGTCCACCTTGGAGCGCAACGTTGACGTCAGCGTGATGACGTAGGGATGTCCAGCATGCAATGCGACGCATTTTGGAGCATGCGCCAGGCCAATGAAAGGCAAAGGTGAGCGCCCTTCTCAAGCACTGAAGGAAATCAGTGATAGTAATTTCACTTTTTTTTTTAGTGGGAGAAACAAGTACAGATTTCAAATATGTCATGACCTGCATCAGTCGCTCCTTTATCCATTCATTTTTTTTTGCTGCAAAAAGGTCGGCCCTCATGCATGTTCACTTCATCACTTCTGGCCCTCTTTGAAAAAAGTTTGGACACCTCTGCTATACATGAATTTTGTGTATAAAAAAAGTCCTTTTCACTTGTGTATCTTCAAAAAGTCTTCATGTACTCCACCTTCACCTGAAAAAAAATGTTTCATTTATTGATACTTAGTCCTCATGCACACATGAGGTTTTTACAGCGGCTGTTTTTGGCTTTTGATGTTTTTTTTCTACAGCTAGTAAACCCCCCAGCATGTTATCCTACGTGTCCATACACACATAGACTGTAATCAACGTTTTTTTTGCAGGGGCATTTTTTGGCTAGCACGTTTTTTGGCTGGAAAAAAAAACCCAGGACTAGTGGGTTTCTAGAGGAATCTTTTAGCTGTAAAAATGCTCTAACGCTGCAAAACAGGTAAAATGCTGCAAAGCGGTGTTTGTGGACTTTTTTGACAAAAAAAAAAAACTAAAAAATGCAAATGCAGAACAACGTGGGAAAACGCCACTAAACGCAGCAAAACGCCACTAAATGCTAATGCAAAAACGCTAAAAAAAGTTGAAAACTCACGTTTTTAACGCTTACAATCTAAAAGGGGAGGGTCAGGTGATACAAAATCCATGTTCAGTTGCTAGATGGGGCAGAATAGACATCTCTGAAGAGAAAAGTTTTCAGGGATTGCCTAAAAATGGACAGAGTAGGAGATAGCCGGACAGATGGGGTAGGGTCACAGGGGCAGACTGGCCATTTGGGAACTAGGGCAATGCCCGAGGGCCCGGGGTCAGTAGGGGGCCCCATGAGATGCCCCTGGTACCTTTTTCATAGGCTTTTTTGAGTTTAGGCAAGGACACAGGGGCCCCATGGTCCCCTATTGCCCGGGGGCCCCATGAGTTGTCAGTCCGCCCCTGGGTAGGGAGTTCCATAGGATGGGAGAGACTCAGGAAAAGTCCTAGATGTGAGCATGCGAGGAGGTGACAAGGGAACTAGAGAGCAGGAGGTCTTTGGAGGAACAAAGAGCGATTTTGTTGGCATTTTGAGACCAGGTTAGTGATGTAGCTGGGGGGCCGAGTTGTGGATGGCTATGTAAGTTATTTTTAGCATTTTGAATTTAATTTGTTGGGTGAGTGGGATCCAATGCAGGGATTGGCAGAGAGAGGTGGCAGACACTGGATGGTTGGTAAGGTGAATCAGCCTGGCAGCAGTATTCATGATGAACTCAAGGGGGGCTAGCCAATGTAATGGTAAGCCAATGAGGAGGGAGTTGTAGTAGTCGAGGTCAGAGATGACCAGGGAGCGGACTAGGAGCTTTGTTGGCTTCAATGGCTAGGAGGGGGTGTGTTTCGGAGATGTTGCGGAGGTTGAGGTGGCAGGATTTTGGAAAGTGATTGGAAGTGGGGCTTTAAGGATAGTTCAGAGTCCAGGATTACGCCTAGCACCCTGGCAAGCAAGGACAGGTTGATGGTTGTGTCCAGGGGCAGACTGACAACTAATGGGGCCCCCAGGCAATAGGGGATCATGGGGCCCCTGTGTCCTCACCCACACTCAAACCACACCACAAAAAAGCCTATGAAAGGTACCAGGGGCATCTCATGGGCCCCCTACTGACCCTGGGCCCTCGGGCAGTGGCCGAGTACCCCAGTGGTCAGTCCACCCCTGGTTGTGCCATTGATCTTGACATATAACAAGCACTTCTTTCCTCTGGGACACATTATGGGAAAACAAAGCCTCAGATGTGCTACTCATTGGACAGCACTGTCACGTTGCAGAGGTGACCATTGTGGACACTGTGATGAATACTCATTCTGGGGCTGTGTATTGCCTTGTATGGTGTACAGACTGAAAGTTGGTCAGGGTATTTCAGGTACTTATATAGCGCCATCAATTTACGCAGCACTTTACACATATATATTGTACATTCACATCAGTCCCTAACCCTCAAGAGGTGTACAATCTAAGGTCCCTAACTCACATTCATACATACACATACTAGGGCCAATTTAGACAGGATCCAATGCACCTACCAGCATGTCTTTAGAGTGTGAGAGGAAACTGGATTACCTGGAGGAAACCCACGCAGGCACAGGGAGAACATGCAAACTCTAGGCAGGCGGTGCCATGGTCGGGAATTCAAACAACTACCTTAGTACTGTCAGGTGGAAGTGCTAACCATTTAGCCACTGTGCTGCTCCTAACCTTTTCATTTTTTGTGAGCTCACCTTTTAAAGGAAATCTGTGCTAGGAGAAATATGTAGAATGTTTTCAGATTAAATATATGTTAAAATTACTTTTTTAATGTTAAAAAAAATCTGAAGAATATATTTTTTGAAATATGTTCTTCAGATTTTTTTTAACATATAAAACAGTAATTTTAACATATATTTGTAAATGCATTCACGAAATGTAGATTTTCACGTTTTGTAGATTTGTATTTTTAAAGACATACAGTATATTTGAAATGTATTTTTAAAAAATATTTTTCATATATTTTGTAATAAAAACGCATTTCAACATGAAATATATATTTATTTATTGAAATATATTTTGAAATAGTTTGAATGTGGCAATATATTTGGGAAGACTATTTTTAAAATATATTTTAATTATATTTTTTTTTTCCACGTGGGTAAGCTTGATATGACTTTGGATGGGTGCAACTTGGATGCGACCTTGGATGGGTGTGACTTTGATGCGACTTGAGTGCCAGAGAGTGTAAAGTCGCATCAAAGTCACACCTCTCCAAAGTCACAGAAAAGTCAATACTTTCCTATTGGCAAAAAACCCTCGCAAAACGCATGAGAAACATATGAAAATCGCATCACTAGCATTTTTGGTGCGGGTCCATTGAAGTCTATTACACGCAAAACACAATCTGCTGTGGGAAAAAAGTCTCTGACCCTTTCCAAAAAATGCACAGATGTGAACTAAATCCATAGGAAATCATGATAGCTGGACTGTAGTGTGTTTCTCCAAACTGGAAAGTGCACTGAAAGCCGCATAAGTGTGAACCTAAGGTGAAAGATGATGCAGCTGTGTAAATCTCAGTGGCTGTGCAGTTCTTTGCTGTGTGCACACATCTGACACAATTCAGCCCCCTGCTGTGAGTTGCTACAAAGACACACTGAACTCAATAAACTGATTGGTGGCTGTGGAAGAATGTTAATTGTTGACTTTACATTTGACTTTAGCACATTTCCATTTCAAATAAGCTATTATAATGCAAATTTACGGGGGGGGGGGGGGGTTCTTTACATCCATAGTAGGTTAAAGACTCAGCACAGTTTTGAGTTTTCTGTATCATTGTAACTTTCCCAAGTTCTCTCCCTTTATGTTTAGGACTATAAACCAGGAATCTAGAAAATATGGCCTGCAGGCCACATCCAACCCACTACAGGATTTCATCTGGCCACAGCTGATGTGTGCAGACTGAGGATTCAGATCAGTTGGTCTCCCCTGATAGAGATCCTGATGTAAGGACTCTGATCAGGACCTAGATGTAAGAGAGGGCTCTGCTGGAGACCCTGATTTAAGGACTATGATGAAGACACAGATGTAAAGAGCGACTATGATGGAGATCCTGATGTAAGGACTCTGATGGGGACACAGTTGTAAGGGGTACTGTGGCGATCACGACGTCAGATCCCAGCCCTTCACACCAAACTCGTGAACGAAGGACTAGCCAATCTAAAACCGCGATGTCACGTGCGTAACAATGCCACGCCCAGCTGCACCCTGCACAACGATTTTCCAGCTAATGGACCACAATCGATGTACCGGCAGCCTGAGCGCGATTGTTACTGGGTCATGTTAATTACGCAACTAACCCTTCACACCGCCACCACCTCCTTTTTGTACAGAGAAAGAGGAAACTCGGCAATATCAGTAATAACACTATGATGGTTGAAATAATCGTCTGTATACCACTGTCACCGCAGGCAGGTTATACAGAGGGTTAAACACACACAGTAGCACTCTCTTCAGCGGCAGGAATTCGTAGTTTGCATTAAAGGCGTTAGAAACAGTTCAACATTTTCAGAAAGTAAGATTTATTACTAAAAAGGTCAAAAGAGTGCAATAAAAAAAATATTTACAGAAAAAGATGTAGCCTATATAAATATATTTGTATTTATTTATTTCAGGTACTTATATAGCGCAGTCAATTTATGCAGCGCTTTACATATATATATTATACATTCACATCAGTCCCTAACCCTCAAGGGGTGTACAATCTAAGGTCCCTAACTCACATTCATACATACACATACTAGGGCCAATTTAGACAGGATCCAATTCACCTACCAGCATCTCTTTGGAGTGTGGGAGGAAACTGGAGTACCCGGAGGAAACCCACGCAGGCACAGGGAGAACATGCAAACTCCAGGCAGGAGGTGCTGTGGCTGGGATTTGAACCAATGACCCTAGTACTGCCAGCCGGAAGTGCTAACCATTTAGCCACTGTGCTGCCCCAAAATATAGAGAACAATAGCACAGCAAAGAGATAACAGAAAGGAATTTAGAGGGTTAAAGTACTCTGATGTAGTGAGGTGTACTCTGATGTAAGGGGGAACTCTGATGGCAGACAATGATGTAAGAGGGGACTCTAATGGGGACCCTAATATAAGGGGGAACTCCTGAGGTGGACTCTGATGTATGAATGAAATCTGTTGTAAGGGGGAACTCTGATGGCAGACAGTGATGTAAGAGGGGACTCTGATGGGGACCCTAATATAAGGGGGGACTCCTGAGGTGGACTCTGATGTATGAATGGACTCTGATGTAAGGGGGAACTCTGATGGCAGACAATGATGTAAGAGGGGACTCTGATGGGGACCCTAATATAAGGGGGAACTCCTGAGGTGGACTCTGATGTATGAATGAAATCTGTTGTAAGGGGGAACTCTGATGGCAGACAGTGATGTAAGAGGGGACTCTGATGGGGACCCTAATATAAGGGGGGACTCCTGAGGTGGACTCTGATGTATGAATGGACTCTGATGTAAGGGGGAACTCTGATGGCAGACAATGATGTAAGAGGGGACTCTGATGGGGACCCTAATATAAGGGGGGACTCCTGAGGTGGACTCTGATGTATGAATGGACTCTGATGTAAGGGAGAACTCTGATGGCAGACAATGATGTAAGAGGGGACTCTGATGGGGACCTTAATATAAGGGGGGACTCCTGAGGTGGACTCTGATGTAAAGGGAAACTCAAGGTGGACCCTAATGTAATGGGGACTTTGCTTTGTTCTATTTCTCCTTTGCTCTGAATCATATCATGCTGATCCAAATAAAACATACTCATTCATTTATTATTCATTGATTTATAAAGCTGACTTTGTTTCATCCCATGAATATATACAATGTGGCCCTTGTACTCAAAAGTTTGAATACTTCTGATATAAACCATGATATCTCTGTGCAGAGACCACATGTTATTCAGCTTGGGATATGAGAAAGGTAAAGTACATGTTTTATCTAGAAGCTGGCGTTCCTGCGATCTGGTGCGGGTGTCAATGTTAAATTAATGACACCCCGAAAAAGATTGCAAAACTCAGTGTGATTGCCAGAAATTCCATCGCATGGGTAAGAATACCCATGCGATGGGATTCAGGTGTGGGGAAAAAAAGTGTCCTGCACCTTTTTGGTGCAAATGCGATGCAATTTGCGCCATACAAAATGTGTTGCTCAAATCTCACCGTGCAGGCATCACATGTAATTCACACAGCAATGCAGTACAATTCCTGTGCGAATTACATATGGTGTCCTGCACCGCATTAATTTGAACCCGGTCTTATTCATGCTGACTTAAAGCGGAGCTCCATCCAAAAGGGGAAGCTGTGCTTGTCTGCCTCCTTCCCCCCTTCCTCTGCCACATTTGGCACTTTTTGG